AGAGTGAGAGAGACAGAGTGTGTGGGGGGGAGTGGGGAGAAACTGAGGGGGATTTACATATACATATTAATCAATTAAAACCTTCTAACTGATTAAAGTTTTAATAGCATCTTAGGTTTGTTGAATACATCCCCATCAGTGATTTTCTATTTATAAATTCTGTGTCTGATACTACCTCTTTCACTCATACCTGAAGAAGGAGTGAGGTGCCAAAAGCTTGTGTTTTCAAACAAATCTGTTGGATTTCTGAGGTTATACAGGACATTGGTGAGACCTCTTCTGGAGTACTGTGTTCAGTTCTGGTTGCCTAGTTTTAAGAAGGATATTATTGAGCTGGAAAGGGTTCAAAAGTGAACCCCTTCAGATTTGACTAGTCTGCCAAGAGATGGCCCTTTGGACCTAGATCCCAGTTGTTTGTGTTGGCTCTTTAAGAGCATTAGAAACATAAATTGATTTTACCAAGATGTTGCCACGCATGGATGGTTTGAGTTATAAAGAAAGGCTGGGAGTTTTTCCACTGGAGCACAGGAAGTTGAGAGGTGATCTTTTAGAAGCTTATAAAATAATAAGAGGTATAGATAGAGTTAGTGGTAGTTGTCTTTTCCCTAGGATGGGGAACTTCAAGACTGGGGGTACATTTTATGGTGAGCACAGTGAGATTTTAAAAAAGGCATGACAGGCAACTTTTTACACAGAGGGTGGTTAGTGTGTGAAATGAACTTCCAGAAGAAGTACTGGATGTGGGTAAAATTAGAACATTTAAAAGATATTTGGATAAGTACATGAATAGGAAAGGTTCGGAGGGATATGGGACAGGAGCAGGCAGGTGGGACTCGTTTAGTTTGGGATTACGTTCTGCATGAACTGGTTGGACCAAAGGGTCTGTTGCCATGCTGTATGACTGTATGACTTTATGACTCTACTGTGAACTTGGGAACAGTGAGAGTCAGGCTGTTAGGATGCATGTACATAGGACTCAACACTATTTCACAAGACGGTAGAGATCCACACCTTAGGACAGTTTAGTTCAGAGAATGATCCTTAAATGAGTATACGGCACTTCACACTCAGGGGCCTCAATGATAGTAGTTAACGATATCAGGTTTAGCTGTGATCCCCTTCAGATTTGACTAGTCTGCCAAGAGATGGCCCTTTGGACCTCGATCCCAGTTGTTCGTGTTGGCTCTTTAAGAGCATTAGAAACATAAGTTGACTCAGCAGAAACTTGGTTTCCAAACTTTTCAACACAGAAGCAACTTGAGGAAATGACCAGAATAGGCATAATTTTCCTGGTGACCAAATCGACAGTGTGGTACTCAGGCATCATTACTGAACGCAAACTCAATGTGTCCATCAGAATATGTGGTGACCTAACGCAATGCAGCAAAGAGCCAACTACAAAAATTGACCCTAAGCTACAATTGATGTGAGGTTAGCCAGATTGGTGAAAAGTAGAATATTTACTAAAATCAATGCTAACAATAAATTCTGACAAGTGTCATTAGATAAGCAATCAAGACTGCTCCCTACACTTATTACTGTGTTTGGGAGACTTTCCTTCAACAGACTGCATATGAGATTGTTTTAGTCCCAGATCTTCCAGTAGACTTTGCCTAATATGTTACAAGGTTCAGAGGCTGTCATATGTCACATGAATGATATATTGATACATGAGGAGACAGCTGAGGAGCATGATCAGAGGGTTTAAGCAGTTTTAAAATGTCTAAAGGCTAAAGGGCTTACTCTCAATTTTTAAGGAATCTATTTTCATCTTGGGATATATTGTTGTTGACAGAAATGAGATAAGCCAGATCAACAGAAAATGAATGCTGTTAAAAAATTACCCATCCCAAAATCAGTTCATGACTTGCAAAGATTTCTTAGCATAGCAGACTTATTGGAAATTTTTTTTTATCACAATTAGTAAAGAAGAACAAACTCTGAGGCAACTAATGAAGAGATGTGAGAATGGTGCTGATACTCACATCCAGAGGATGTTTTACAAAGGATCAAGAACATGTTGACATCTGCAGATGTCTCAGGCTACTACAATTCATTGTTTTTAACTATTATAGTTGCAGCTGCTTCAGTTATGGGTAAAGGAGCAGTGCACTTTCAGCAGCAATAGATTTGTAGAGGAAGCTACTATAATAAGCCTCTAGTGCACTGTCATACAAGGAGAATCACTATGCAGTTCTGGAGAAAGGGAGGTATCTTGGTCAGATGGGCTTGCAAGAGATTTCCAGATTACATCCTTCATGTCAAATTCTTATAGAAACAGACCACAAAACGTCAGTCTCCATCTTAGATGAGGAAGTGTTCGCAAGGATGCCTTCAAGGATACAAAGGTTCCAAATCTGCCTTGTGAGGTTTGCCCATGAGACCAAATAGGTGCAAGGGAAGCTGCAATGAACAGCAGATACTCTCTCCAGGGTGACTATCAACAGCCTTAAAATGAGCGATGAGGAATTTGTTGGTGAAACTGAATCACACTCAGCGGCCGGCAACTCAAAATAAGCTCAATCAAATCTGATAGGAACAAAACAGAGTATGAGAGTATATTATCATTCATCAAGGTTGTATCAAAAAGGGGCCAGATCAAAGGCCTTGTTGGTGACCACAAAGTGTTGGTCATCAACAGCACTTCCTGTTGTTTGATAAAAGGTCCAGTCATTCCAGCTTTACTGTGGAATGATATCCTAGATAGGATACATCAGGGAAACTCAGGAATTACCAAGCACCTGGACTCGTGTATTCATGTGGTGGTCAGAAATCTCAAAGGCAATTGTGTGCCTCATAGCTGATAGAGAAACTTGTGTTATTCGCAGACCAGGACAGAGAAAGCCACCGAACCCCACTACATTTCCCACCAGAACATGCAAATGAATAGAAATTGACCCATTAAGATTGGATGGATGGTCTTACTTTATTGCTTCTGACTACTTTTCATGATGTCACCACCAAAGTAGTAGTTGTCAGGGTCTTGCACAAAATGCTTGCTGCATATGACCTCCCTGATGTATCAGACAACAGCTTGCAGCCACTTCCAAATTTGAACATGTAACCACTTTCCTACAATAACCAGGGTTGAATGCGAAAGTCAGAAGCTGAGTCCACATGGTAAAATACTTCTGGAAAAACAATTCTGCCTTTATGCAGTGTTGTTAAATTTCTGCACTACCCTACTACAGCATGGTTTATTGCCATCAGAATTACTGGTGAGGAGAAAACTGAAAATTCAACTCCCTCTCCTATCAAAGAGGTTGACTCCATTGTTGAGTCTGCAGGACTAAAGAACTGCTTGAAAAATTGAGCTTTGAATTTAATTTTGAAAATTATACTTATTTAGCAAATGCTCATTGCAATTCAACTTTGATAAAAAAGAACATCTACTGTCAATCATAGGACAGAGTTAGGTTTCCACCTAACAAACTGTGGATGCTCAGTGCAGGAAACAAAGCACAGTAAACTGCACATCCAGTCTCAGTTATAGTGCAATGGAACAAAGCCAGAGCAAATTGTCACTTCTAATTGGATAATCAGAGAAAGTGGAAGTAACTTTTTAGAAAGAGAGATTATATAAGACAATAGTTAACTAAAAGAATTTGATTTGTTGAAAAAGAATTTTGCTTGTTTTGTATTAATAAGTACAAGAAACTGTAACAGTTTTTCACTTAATGAGATTGTGCTGAGATACGTAGTTGAAATAGTTCATTTGGAATGTACAAAGCCAGGACAATTGTTGAATTCATTACAGCTACATCATAATGGCAAATAGATGCTAAAGGCAAAATCAGCCTTCACCAGCTCATCAGATGAAAACATGATAGTTCAAGGGCATTCCATTGTAGAAAATCATACATACCTGCCTCCATGAATAATTGTCTGTTACAGAGTTAATGCTAATGCTGCATCAAATATGTGCTTTCTTTCAACTTCTGAAAATGTAAAGAGCAAAGTGATTTTCATTCTTTAGATATTTGATGGGCTAACATGCTTGTGCCCATTATCCAATTTGACTACTCCACCACGGTGCACATGATATCAAATGGAAGAATAGTGCAGAAGAATCACGTGTGACCCACATTTTTTAAGATGCTGCGTACACAATGATATTTTTCTGCTTTTGTTGCATTCGCATGCATACAAACTTTAATTAAGGTGAATTTGACAAAACACTAGTTGATGCATGCATTTGAATATACTGGACAGCTTTCTTCAGCTAAACAAAAATCGATTTAATCTTTTTAAATAGAGGATGAAGAATAACTTCAGTATTTCAGTGCTTCAAATATTAAATGTGTGTGTTTTAGAAGACAACTAACCACGAAAGTTGGGAAATTCCATTGACACAAGATCCAGGACTGAGTATATATTTTTAAGTGGCCAATACAATGTGAGAAAGGAACATAAACAATTTACAATCTATATAGTCCGATTTATCATCTTATCTCAAAACACCAGTTTAATAAACATTCTTAGCATCTGAGCATATATCAAGGTCAGCATTGATTTCCCATTCCTAACACTCTTGAGTAATTGTGGTGAGCCTAATTCCTACTGCTTCTGCTACAATAATGACACTGTTCAGCAATAGCAGCCAGGGCAGCAAGAGCTTTCTGACAGTGCAGTATCCTGAGAATTTTGCCTCTCTGAAACTAATTGTTTCAATGTTGTCAAGATCTGGCCCCGTATGTTATGTCCTGGATCTAAAGTCAGAATTTCCCCTTCAATGGTAGGGCTAAATTATGAGTGCAGCGAGATTCTCGGCCATCGAATTGGTGATTTATCCAGAAGATCCTGTAATTCAGAACATAGATCCTATTCAATTTACAGTTTATCCTGCGAAATCCCAATGTTCAGCCCCGTTGCTGTGGGTAAAGTTAGCAAAACATAGTTGGAGAAATGAAAGGGATTCTCACGCCTTTTAAGTCCAAAAAAAAGTACAAGCAGGTTTGAAAGGTTATTTTTGAGGTGGAAAGGAAAAAGAAGAGACTTACAGGAAAGACTTCATATCTAACCCTCGATTACGGAGCTGTCCCATCACGTAATCCCAGCTCCCAGGATTGGAGCGACTGCGACCTCCAGCTGTACGATTGCGTGAGCCTGCCGTACCACTTGGCCTATGCTGGCCTCTGTAGGGAGACCTGCTGCCGGAGGTTGTCTGCTGTTGGAACTGAAGCTGCCCCAGGCTCTGGCTGGTGGTAGGCTGGCTGTGGGCAGGTCTATGCTGTTGCAGCGGCTGCTGGAGGCTCTGCTGCCTCTGCAGCGTCCGAGGTCGTGGGCATTTCGACTGTTGATCGCCTGGTGGTGTAGATATGTGCTCTAATGTGGAGGCTGCTGATAAGGTCGGCTCATCCAAGCTAACAGAACAGCACGACAGAAGAAAAGAACAGAAAGAAAGAGTAAAGGGAGAAAACAAAAAGCAAATCACAGTTAGCGAAGTCACCTGCAGTGAAGTTCAGTAATGCGTCTTGAGTTTGTTGGATACCTGGCTTTACAAATGCCCTTATAGATTCTTAACACATCATTACTGGTAGGTGATTCTCATTTCCTGTGAAATGCCTTAACACAATACAATGTCATCAACTCCAATTTAAATTATCCTTGTTTTTGCCCTTCTCATCATGATCAGTCTGTGCCTTGCACTAGTTGTTGGAATATAACAGGTGAGTTAGGCTCAACTCAATGCACTTAAGTGGTTTGCTGAAAATAAAACAGCTGAAGCTATGCAAAGAACATCCTTCCCCCAACACTGGCAGGTAGTTGTAAGCAAAACCAGCAACAGGATCAAAATCATTGATAGCATTTTAGAGTGTTAAACATAATATAGCCCGTGGGTGACAAACATTATTTTCAAGAAATGACTTTTTAAAGAGATGCTTCAAAGAAATGACAATGGAAAGTATTATTCTACAAGAACCTTACTTTAATTGCATATTTACACCTTGATTATATTTCCTTATTAATTTCCTGTACACTAAATATCTTCAGAGCACTTATTTGTATGATAATTTATGGCAATCCTGTTTTTTCAATGCTAGATGTCAAGAAAGTCTATAAAATAGGGGCAAGATGAATCAGTGGTAATTTCCTTAGTGTAGCTACATAAAGAAAAGCAATGTCAAACATACAAATTAGAGACAGAAAAAGAGAGAAAGTTAAAGTTGCTGTAGTTATTTTGCAGAGGGAATTTGAACTTTGGTCCTCTATTGATTGAACAATATTTGCTTATAAAGAAATTTACTAGCAAACATTTATTTCAATCGACTTCTAATACCTGTGGAAGATACAAAATTTTAAAAGCACAGTCAATAGTTATTCTAGATACCTCACAACTGGATCAATTGAAGCATTTGTTACCAAAGGACCTCACATACTCATGAAAGATTTCCTGCAGGGAAATCCATCTTGTTTTAGTGGCTGTCACTGAACCAGCACTGGGTGCACTCTCCCCTCAGCAAAGTTGTCAACATAAATTACTTAGAAGACATGTCTCTACTCCTGTCCATGGTTACAGACAGATTGCAAGCTATCCCCAAAATATCAACTTTGTCTTAACATTGCAATTACTTTTGGTGCCCAGGGCAAATGGGAGAATAATTTATTTTTGAAACTTTTATGTGTGTAAGGTAGCCATAAAAATTTTGCTTGCTATTTTTAAATAACAGCTTGAAATTTTATCAATGCAGGAACTGATTGGGCAGAATTCCATATTTTTTAGGTCACTGAAGTCATGCATGTTAGTGAGGGAGACGGAGCACTTTCCATTCCAAGCAACCTATATTAGGTCCATGTACTCCCAGTTTTGGTACAGCTTTCTTCCATGTATCATAAAACCCCCTTAGTAAAGCTCAGCCACAGAAGCGTATCTCTACTGCATCGTCTTCATTTCCCACATGACCAATTCGGGAACTTTTCAGAGTAGGAAGGCCAATTAATGGTAGATTGGGGTCGTTTTGTGCTGTAGGTTAATATCCACTAGCAACTGAATTATGAACTCTGGAACTGCATATCACAAAGCCCTTGCAGCAATCAGAACAAACTTTATTCCAAATGCTTGAGTCGGAATCAAACAAGATTGGATATGAAATGCCAGTGTCTAACATGATGCGCCACCTACCCTGTTTCTAGTCCAGTTTAGTGCTGGTTAGGGGCTTGTAATTGCAGGCTGGGACCAACAGTGTGCTTCCCATACCTGAAGTGTGAATATGTTAAATTGAAAGAATTAAATGTCAAAACAAAATGATCAATCTTTATATCACCACTTTAGGTTCAGTGAGAAGCAACCTGCAATTGGGTCTACTGAAAATTATGCCCAATATAGATCACAGATTCTGAAATAATTTAAATTCAGTATTCTGTTTGTCCTAAATGTGCTTCTTTTTTAACTTGCCAAAGTATCTATTCAAATATAAATAAAGATTTTGAGCTGATTTAATAGACACCATGGGCACATGAATAGGTGAAGCACATTTTCTTTTCTTCCTTTACAATTCCCTTTCTCCCCACACATCTCTAAATACAAGTATTAGACGTTCAATATCTTGGCATTGCCATACACTGCACATTTAATGTTACTTTTCAAAAAGATCAGCAGTAAGCAGAGTCTATGAAGCTGCAGCGTGCAAGAGTCTACATGCTTGATAAGAGCTGAGAGTTAGGTGGGCATATGACAGCAGAGTCCTCAAGGTGAGGTTCACTTTAGTTCACATACATGGCTATAAATTGGAAGTAGTGTGAAGTCATATTTCAGTTATAGCTGTTACTTGGCACTTATTTTCTGAGGGGACAATTGTTCATTTGCAAATTGAAATAGCACCAGGCTAGAGATCATGGGTCATGAAATTTAGTGTGAATTAAATTGCTCCCCGCAGCACCAAATCTCACTCAAAGCATGTACACATTTCAAAAGTTAGATGTGAAATTGTGAGATTCTCACACATGCTGTCAGTTGCCAATACTGCTTAAAACAGCACATATATGAGGCAGCTGGTACAAAGAACAAAGCACAATGCAACACCAACACTGATGATGGGGATAAACATGGCACTAATTGGCAATTATGCACTTATTTTTGATTGCTAGCATGTAGCACATTTATATCAAACAGAGAATACACACATATGCTGTATTTCAGGGCTTCTGCACAGGCATAGCAATAAATGTCTGAAATGGGTATTACGGGAATAGAAGAGTTTAGAATGTTAAGGCTCATTTTCATGATCACAAATTCACACACTCATTCGCCCATTAGAAAATTGGATTGAATTACCAGCATTATTCATCATGCTGTAGTGCTGTTCATCATAGTTCAGCACTAATTGCAATGGTATATCCAGATATACTAAATAATAATTGAGATTTTAACATCATTCAGAGATTGCCTTTCTTCATCATGTAAGTTATTGTAAAAAAAAAACTATCCAAGAGGATGCACATTTGATTCCATGAATTTACAGATTTGTGAATGGCCATAAATTAATATTCTAACTCAGCCCTAAGTCCCAGCACAGTATAAATCAAAAGTAAATACGCATAAAATTCTAAAGGTTTCTGTTTGATGCACTTTCTTGCACAGTTACTTCCTAAGGGGCTCTTACCTAAAGGAAGGCATGAGAACAGCGCATGTATTCTGACATCACAACAATTAGCAGAGATCATGCTTTTGTTTTAAACTAGCCTAATATGAACTAATATGAACCCATCTCACGTATAAGTACGTTACTCAAATTTAATTCTCAATTTACTTGTGCAATTACTTAGGTTTTGCTGTGACACACAACTTTATTTCTTACAGTGCCAATAATCCACACAATATCACAAGATACTTCACAGAAGAGAAACAAACACTGAGAAACAAAAGAAGTATTGGGAGAAATGACTGAATGCACAGTTTAAGAGGTAGACTTTGGAAGAGAAATACCAGTTTGAGGGGATCACAGAGGAACTTTGAAGGAGCACGCTATAAGGTTGAAGCCTGTGGCATCACCATACAGCAGAATGCCACCACAAACAAAATTGGAGGCCTGATGTACACTGGTTTGGATGTAGGGCTGGAGAAGGTTGATGAGATAGGGTGTGCGATGTTCTCAAGGAATTAGTAAATTTTAGAAAATGGATTTTAAATTCAATGGATTGCGAGCTTACAAGCACAGGAACATGTATGAAGAGCACTTTACAGTACAAGATGGTGGCCGAGGAGTTTGAGGGGGTTTAAAAGGTTTATGTACGGTAGGATCTAACAGAAAAGTTCAGAAGACAAAGGTTAACAAACATCATTGGTAGTAGGGCTAAGTCCAGAATGGAGGTGAACAAAGTTATGGAATTTGAAGCAAGCAGTCTTAAGGATAGATAGGATGTCAACTTTAAACACAGCTCATGGATGAACAGGAACTCAGCCTGATATTGCAAACATCAGACTTTAATGGATTTAAAGACAAGGCTACAGAGTTTTTGGATGCAGCCAAGACAGGATGGTTTCATTCTTGCAAATTTTTGGTAAAATAACATATAGATTTATCAATTACATTACATCATAGAACACAGAATGAGTTACAGCACAGGAAGAGGTCATTTGGCCCATCATATATTTGGTTGCTTTCTAAAGAAAGAAGCAGTAGAACAGGACTTGAGTGCAAACACATAATCTGACAGCAGAGTAATGACCAAGGAAAGTTTATAGCTACACGTTATACAGATGTGTATCCTATACTTATGGGTAATATTGTTGAAGTACATTAGGCAAGAAAGGAAATAAGAACAATAACAACATTTTGGGTTATCACTAAGACCACAATGATGAATGAAAGCATGTTTGATTGACAACTCTATCAGACTGTTAGAAGGTTTATACCCATTCAAAGGGCACTTGTGGCACAGTGTAGTGTTCTTACTTCTGCTCCATCCCATCTACTATGTGTGCTGTACCAATCGACCAGGTGGTTGAAGCATGGCTAGCTAAGAGAGATATCATAAGTCTGAACAAGTAAATTGAAATAATTTTTAAGCACTTTCATTGGTTTTATGTAGTTTATGAGGGCTATCTATGGTGGATACTAGGTGAGTAGATACGAAAGAAACTAACTGGCTGCATGCCATGTCAGTGTGCATACTCAGCCCTCTTCAGCCTGAACGCATGTCCTGCTCACATCATGTAGCACCTTCTCACTGTAACAAGATCTTGCCAAACCTTGTCTGTATGTGTCAGATAGAGAAGGTGTGTGTGCGCACGTGCGTGCGTGTGTGCGTGCGTGTGTGCGTGCGTGTGTGCGTGCGTGTGTGCGTGCGTGCACGAGTGTGGGGGGGGAAGAGGGGGAAAAAGAGAGTGTTTTCAACAGTAATTAAGACTGAATGGTATTTG